AAAGCTATGGGAAGGAACTAGGGATGCAATGATACCGTTTTTTTTGACGAGTATCGATACTTTTGGTCAAGTACTCGCCGGTACCGATTACTGATACTTTGCGTTGCGATTTGCATCAATGAATGCAAATTGCACCGAAAAGAATAGCATGCAATTTGAACAGGAATGCGATTCCTGTCCAAATCGCATGCAGATTCCCTACTACTGCTGTGTAAAGTTAGGCTTGTCATAGCCTGTGTTCACACAGGAGCAGTGCGGGAAAGCTCCCTGGAGGCATCTCATGCTGAGTATCAGAGGTAGGAGAGGAGAGAACATGGACACATGGAAGGTGCTGACCAATCAGATGCCGACTAGCCTGAACCAGGGGCGGACTAACAACTTATGGGGCCCCGGGCAATAGGGGATCATGGGACCCCTGTGTCCTTGCCCAAACTCAAAAAAGCCTATGAAAAAGGTACCAGGGGCATCTCATGGGGCCCCCTACTGACCCCGGGCCCTCGGGCACTGCCCAAGTTTCCAAATGGTCAGTCCACCCCTGGCCCAAACTGTCATCGTTGCAAGGAGAGGAAAGAAAGAGGTGGAGAATTCAAACACAATTTTTGCTGGGATGTCATCGCTGCAAGGAGAGGAAAGAAAGTGGTTGAGGTTTCAAAGGCAATTTTTTTTGGATGTCATCTCTACAAGGAGAGGAAAGAAAGAGGTGGAGAATTCAAACGCAATTTTTTTTGGATGTCATCACTGCAAGGAGAGAAAAGAAAGCGGTGGAGATTTTAAACACAATTTTTTTTGGATGTCATCTCTACAAGGAGAGGAAAGAAAGCGGTGGTGAATTCAAACGCAATTTTTTTTGGATGTCATCTCTACAAGGAGAGGAAAGAAAGCGAAAGCGGTGGTGGGAATTCAAACGCAATTTTTTTTTGGATGTCATCTCTACAAGGAGAAGAAAGAAAGCGGTGGAGATTTCAAACGCAATTTTTTCATTGGGATGTCATCTCTACAAGGAGAGGAAAGAAAGCGGTGGAGATTTCAAACGCAATTTTTTTGGAATGTCATCGCTGGAAGGAGAGGAAAGAAAGCGGTGAAGCCTTCAAAAATGCAATTTTTTTGGGATGTCATCGCTGCAAGGAGAGGAAAGAAAGCGGTGGAGATTTCAAGCGCAATTTTTTGGGAAAAAATAAATTTTAATGAATTTTATTGAACACAAAAACAATATAATAGCAAATTTTGTAAATAAAATATAAAAGATGATGTTATGCTGAGCAAATTGCTCAGGCCCGTGGAATGGTGACAAAAGACTGTACTTACAATCATTCTTAGGCAACGCTTTACATCTTTCGCTGCCAGAGATGTTTTTTTTTTTTTTTTGCACACATGTTTAAAAAAGATCATTTTAGGCCTGAAGATTACACAAAACCTCCAAACATGATATATTTTATAAAAGCAGGCTGACTAGAGAATAAAATAGCGGTAGTTCCAATTTTTTATGTCACACGATATTATTGCAAAGGCCTAAAAAATGCAAAATTTCATTAAAAATTGCACTAAAGTGGATTTTAGGGCAAAAAAACTTAATAAACTGCTAAAAAGAGAAGTTGTAGTGCTAAACACAAAAATATTGAATAATGTCAATAGATAAATACCATCAAGTGCAAAAAACAAATTCACATAAAACAAAAAATAATATACAGAAATCCAAAATGGTGTTCAAATCAATGATTGTGGACTGTGATAAACTGAATAGAATAGTCCCAATGTCCACTGTATAATAAATCTTCACCCAGAGATCCAGGAACAACAGATGTGTCAGGTCCAGCAATGGCTAGAATGAAAACTCACCAGAAGATGTTGCTATTTAGAAAAATAGCAATAGCGCTTGTATGATGATAAATTCCCAATGTATCAGGAATTCCCAGTGTATCAGGAATTTCCAGTGTATCAGGAATTCCAGTGTATCAGGAAACTCGATAGTCCTCATATCCCGCTCCACCAGATATCAGTACAGGTACTTTCATCCTCCAAAACCACCAACAAATCTCTCATAGTGTAGTAGTTTTAATAAAGTGCATTTATACACAGATAAAATAGCCAATTAAAAACAAAGAAACAGCTGTGACACTCGTAATAGCGGCGCGACCTCCAGCAATAACACCTAACAACCCAATGCCATTTCACACGGTTCATAAACTACCAAATAACAGCGGCCATCAATACAGACAGTGAGACGTAATAAATTACTCACATTTTTGGTAAAATATAAAAGACAAGGATGTGCCGAGTAAATAGATACCCAACATGCCAAACCTTACATTTATGTTCGCCCATGAAATTGTGTCAAACTTCAGTACCACATATTATTTTCTATTGACGATGCTTCAAAAGCCCCTATAGGTAATCAGTTTAGCATTACAGGGGAGGTCCTGTGCTAGAATTATTGCTCTCACTCCGCTGTGTGCGGCAATATGTAACATGTGTATCGCAATCGACTTTTTAACAGGTGGGTTCCCCGACGTGTTTGTTTACATTCGTATGTGCATATAAGTGGGGATGGGGGGCCCTCAAAATTTCTTCTGTGGCAGATGGTATGTGCTTGGGTGTAACTTTATTTTTTACAAAAAAAAAGTTTTTTTTTTTAGTTAACTTTTTTTTTTTTTTTCATCACATAGGGGACACAAAGTCCTCTATGTGATGACTTTTTGGAGACCGGTTCTCTTTATTGAGACATGCAAGGTCTAAAAGACCCCCCAGTGTCTCCTATGTGATCCATTAGATGTATTGCAATGCAAACCACATTGCAATACATCTTTCCCTGGCTATTCTAGCTGGGAAATTGACATCCATGACCATGGACTTCGCCTTCCAGGTCACACAAAGAAGGGGAGGGGGCGGACGCTAATACGCTCTCCTCTCTCTCTTCCACCCACTGGGACTCGCCATAGCTCTCCTCTGGGTAAGCGGAGCCCCCACGAGTGCACCTGTGGGGGGCAGCAGCAGAGACGGGGGGTGGCAGCGGAGCTGCCCGACTGCTTCCACCTGACAGTTTTATACACACTTGGTGGCAGGGGCGGACTGACCATTTGGGAACTTGGTCACTGCCCGAGGGCCCGGGGTCAGTAGGGGGCCCCATGAGATGCTTTTTTGAGTTTGGGAAAGGACACAGGGGCCCCATGATCCCCTGGGGTCAGTAGGGGGCCCCATGAGATGCCCCTGGTACCTTTTTCATAGGCTTTTTTGAGTTTGGGCAAGGACACAGGGGCCCCATGGTCCCTTATTGCCCGGGGGCCCCATGAATTGTCAGTCCGCCCCTGCTTGGTGGCTGCAACCACTGGATTGTGTATAAAACCCCCCTGCTCTCAGGTCCATACGGCATACTGACCAGGCAGCGGAAGGGTTAAAAGCCTTGACAGGTTGCCAGTGTAGAGTTACACAGGAGGTCTGGTGCTAGAATTATTGCTCTCGCTCTGATGTTCACCTCATATGTATAATGCGATCGCTGCTTATTCATATGTTTCACTTAAGTGCCTGAGCGCAAGGGGACAGGGGTGCTTTCATTTTTTATTGCTATCAGAAGGGATGAACAACATCCTTTGTGGTAGCATGGGCCATGACAGGTCCTCTTTATGGAGATGTCTGGGGTCTATTAAACCCTAGATCTCTCCTCTGGCCTCCAATGCAGCCGATTAGACACAGATTGGTGTAACCAGCCACAGAACTGAAACCAGAAGTGACAAAATCCTCGCTTCCGTTTTCTGATGCCGAGGAACGACTTAGGTTCCTTCCACTGTATCTGGGGGAGCTTATGCTGCCGGTTGCATCTTGAACAGGTGGGACCCCCTTCTGCCACCTATAAAACTAATCCAGCGACTGCATAGCCATAGTTTTACATAAAAGAGAATCACCGGCACTACAAAATGGCACCGAGGTCATGGCTGTAGCCTTAACCATGATCCCGGTATAACCGCATTAATAGCAGGCCATATACGTACGGTATTGAAGCTGGTAAAGAGGAACCTCAACATGCTTTTTGGTTTTTAAAAGTGTTTTAAAATGCTGTAGCTGCTAACTTTCAAAAATCAGGTAAATACTTACCGGTGCATAGGGTCCAGCTCTCTTCCCGCAGCTGGTTCTTCTTATCGCTGCGGGCTTCCTGAGTAACCATAGTAGGTGCCCCAATGTGAATGTGCAAGCTTGCATGGAGCTTTGTGAATGGTCCTGCAGCCTCCTGGGACATGTGATGTGTTCCAGGAGGCTGCAGGAGGGGAGGAGGTGGTGCAGGGGGTTCCTTCAGGAGGGGAGGAGGTGGTGCAGGGGGTTCCTTTTAGTTATGTATACCCTGTTCTGCCTACTGACTCATATGGAAGAAAAATATATTTGAAATATTTTTTAAAAATATTCTTCTCAAATATATTGACATTCAATTTTGGCCATACTCAATATATTTCAATATATATACTGTATGTTGAAATGTGTTTTTATTACAAAACATGAAAAATATTTTAAAAATACATTTCAAATATACTGTCTTTAACCCCTCGCCTACAGGGCACTTATACCCCCTTCCTGCCCAGGCCAATTTCCATCTTTCAGCGCTGTTGCACTTTGAATGACAATTGCGCGGTCATGCAACACTGAACCCATATGAAATTTTTATCATTTTTTGTGACAGATAGAGCTTTATTTTGGTGGTATTTAATCAACTCTGGGTTTTTAATTTTTTCTTATACAAACCAAAAAACTACTGAAAATTTTGAAAAAAAAAGTTTTTTCTTAGTTTTTGTTATAAGATTTTGTAAATAAGTGATTTTTCTCCTTCACTGATGTGCGCTAATGAGGCTGCAGTGACGGGCACTGATAGGCTGCACTGATGGACACTGATAGGCTGCACTGATGGACACTGATAGGTGGCACTGATGGGCACTGATGAGGAGGCACTGGTAGGTGGCACTGATGGGCATTGACAGGCATCACTGATCGGCACTAAAAGGCAGCACTCATATATGGCACTGATAGGTGGCACTGATAGGCGGCACTGACTGGCACTGATAGGTGGCACTGATAGGCGGCACTGACTGGCACTGATAGGCGGCACTGACTCGCACTGTTATGTGGCACTGACTGGCACTGTTAGGCAAAACTGATAGGCAGCACTGACGGGCACTGATAGGTGGCATTGATGAACACTGATAGGTGGGAGAGGGGGTGGAGCAGAGACCACTGTTTATCCATAGAACCTGCCTGATCCAGCCATCTAAAGATTCCAGAGAAGGGAGTTCCTGTACACAGGCATCTGCACCCATCCATCCCTTAAAGGGACCTCTGGTCAGCTGGATCCTTATATACTTCCCTGTGCGCTCCAGACAACACCACCTACCCAGAGGGAGGATTATCTCTGCCCCAGACCCATAAAGGAGACCTCTACTGGTTCATATAATGCGTACTTACATTACGCATCTGGTGAGTGCGTAATTTTACTACACTACTCGGAGCACCACCACTGGATTTTACCAAGATTTTATATCTGCACAGACTGTCACCTTCATTTTTAAGATATTGGTCATTACTTGTGTATGATAATTTATTGCTAATTGCATACTGGTCGAACGATTATATCATTTTTAAGTTACTTAGCGCTGCATTTATATTTTTTCTATGTTTGGATAATGTTTTATATTGGTTGCCTTGAGTGCTATAGCTGCTTACTAGAGAGCGCTCACTTTTTTTACTGTATTTTGCTGTCTGTGTACTACGTGTGGATATGTATGTGTGTGTTGGTGTCTGATATGTATTTATTAACATATTTTATTTTTTGTTCTTTTTTGTTTTATTGTGGTAGACAGGTTTACTATTACCATACGTACATACATTTTTTGTGTGTTTTCAGTAATGGTGTTGTGCATATCCCTTTCGTTTTCTGTATGATACTTGATTTAAGATAATTTATTTCTTGTATTTTTATTCAAAATGGATTTTTCTGTGCAATGTTTTTCAATACATTTATGCCTGTCCTAAGATACAGTTACAGTCTTGTAGGAGCAGATTATCCGTGAAACGCGTAGACAGACTTTTAAGACATTTTTGGCAAAGTGTACTTTATGCATTTTTATTACGATGATTATGCTGTCTTTTTAGCAAATTATTTGTAATAAACATTACTTTTTTATAGAGAATTTTTTCTTATAAGCCTAGGGGCCATCCTTTGTTATATGTTTTGGTAATGATTAGATTATAGGATGCTGACTCCATGGCAATTCCTTATGTTTTAACCACTTCCCGTCTGGCCCATGTACATAAACAGCCGGACGAGAGCACTGCCGAAGCGGGTTGCCGTTTATAAACTCACTGCCTGTGTGCGTTCACTGGCAGCGTGCGGGCACCGCGATCGCTGTATGGGACCTCTGTGCGAGGTCCCGATTCATGTGATCCCTGACTGGCCAATCAGTGATCACATGAATAGTAATAAACAAGATGAAACTTCCTGACATCATTGCTTACTACTTGTGAAATCTGTGAATGATCACAGAGGTCACATGGCACAAGGCTATTCACAACAGCCTTGTACAATGTGGCAAGTTGTGACCAATCACAGCTCACACAGTATTTCTCAATGGCTGCAAGAATGCAGCAAAAGAGAAGGAGAAATGATTGCTTTTACAGTCTTTATGGGTGTAAAAGCAATCAGTGGGAAAAAAAAAAAAAAAAAATCTTCATCACCCCCCCCACAAGTACAGTGTCACTATGGTGACGCTGTACTGCTAGGGTGACAGTATGTTAAAAAAAACAACCCATAAATATTTAGAAAAACTACAATTTCTAGGGAAATTGTGTGAAGTGTTCTTGCCTCCACGGTTGGAGTGGCTGGAGTAACTGTTGTGTGGTTGGAGTGGCTGGAGTAACTGTTGTGGTGGTTGGAGTGGCTGGAGTAACTGTTGTGTGGTTGGAGTGGCTTGAGTAACTGTTGTGTGGTTGGTTGGGTGGTGGGGTAACTGTTGTGTGGTTGGAGTGGGGGTGGAGTAACTGTAGTGTGGTTGGAGTGGTGGAGTAACTGTAGTGTGGTTGGAGTGGCTGGAGTAACTGTTGTGTGGTTGGAGTGGCTTGAGTAACTGTTGTGTGGTTGGAGTGGGTGGAGTAACTGTTGTGTGGTTGGAGTGGGTGGAGTAACTGTAGTGTGGTTGGAGTGGGTGGAGTAACTGTAGTGTGGTTGGAGTGGCTGGAGTAACTGTTGTGTGGTTTGTTGTGTGGTTGGAGTGGCTGGAGTAACTGTTGTGTGGGTGGAGTGGCTGGAGTAACTGTGAAAAAGTTTTGTCAGCTCCCACTCTAGTTTTGAACATTCCGCCATTCATTCCTATGGGACCAATTTCACCGCAAAAACGCCGATATTTTGTGAACCATTCAGCGAAACGTTCCACAAAGTAATAGCACACCAATCGGGAACAATCCGCACGTTTCAGTATATTACTGTCTATGTAGTGTAAAAACTGTGGGAGGAGTTAGGGTGGTAAATGTGGCTATAATGATAAGAATATATATGTGAGATAACAGTAAGTGGTCTGCCGTGCAAGAACACTTAATAATACTAGAAAAGCTACAATTTCTGGGGAAATTGTGTGAAGTGTTCTTGCCTCCACCAGTAGTCTACAACTGGAGTGGGCGGAGTAACTGGGTGGAGTGGCTGGAGTAGCTGTGAAATGGTCAATGGGCAGCGTGAGTTGCAAACAAATGGTCATATTGTGAAAACTATCAGGACTATGGCTTAGCCTTGGACATTTTTAGTGGCAGCAGGGATAGCTGAACGTTTTGATTTGTGTAGGTGAGCTTGAAAATGAGGGAGTGATGGCAGTTTAGAAATCATGTCCTGATTTTTCAGCTCACACTCTAGCTTTTGTCAGCTCACACTCTAGTTTTGAACATTCCGCCATTCATTCCTATGGGACCAATTTCACCACAAAAACAGCGATATTTCGTGAACCATTCGGCGAAACGTTCCACAAAGTAATAGCACACCAATCGGGAAACATCCACACGTTTCGGTATATTACTGTCTATGTAGTGTAAAAACTGTGGGAGGAGTTAGGGTGGTAAATTTGGCCATAATAATACGAATATATATGTGAGATAACAGGAAGTGGTCTTGCCGTGCAAGAACACTTAAAAAAAAAAATAAACATGTAAAAAAATTTTTTTTAGAAATTATAATTTTTGGGGGTTTTTTTTACTAAAAAGATAGCTGAATACATTTTGGCCAAGATTTATGAAGAACAATTATTTATCTGCAAAATTTAGAAAAACACTTTTTTTTTTCAAAAAGTTTGGACTTTTTCATTTATATAGCAAAAATATTCAAATCCCAGTGGTGAATAAATACCACCAAACTAAAGTTTTATCTGTCGCAAAAAAATAAAATAAAAATTCATACGGGCACAGTGTTGCATGACCGCGCAATTGTCATTCAAAGTGTGATAGCGCTGAAAGCTGAAAATTGGCCTGGACAGGAAAGGGGATGAAAGTGTCTGGACTTGAAGTGGTTAATATTACATCTTCCACTCATTAGTCTCTATATAGTTGCAAAGGACACCACCACCATCCTCACCAAGGCAAGGACTGTGGAAGTGAGAGGGGGTACTGATAAAAATCTGTACTCTCTCTCCCCTCCTCCCACAAAAACCCTGTTGTTCCATTAGAGACTGGGATGAGGGAGCGGACCAGTGGGATTTCATTCTGAAATTCCTCTTTAACCTCCCTTAGCGGTTTTCCCGAGTGTAGCTCGGGGTAAAATTTCAATACCAAGAGAGGTAACCCCGAGCTACACTCGGGCTTACCATGCGGCATTGCTCAGGGGGTCCCTGCAGCACTTACCTTGTCCTTCGCTCCCGCGATGTGTCCCCTGCAGTGTCCCCGTCCATCTCCTCCGGCCGATGCCGGCATTCGGCTTCAGTGTTGTCCTGGTTCCTGTGACATCGGGACGTACGGGCGCCGGAACGGGCGGGAAATTTGAAATTTTTAAAAAATGTCATTTTTGCGGTCATTGCTGTTTCAATGCATTTCACATATATTTTGTCCCTACTGCTTTGTCCTGTCCCCTGCCTGCATTTTGACTGTTCTTTCTGCCTGGAAATTTAGAAAAGTCCATGGCGTCCAAAAAGCGTCCCTTTAGGTCAAAAGCGGTTTTAGAGCAGCGATAGTAAATCAGAACCACTTGCAGAATTGAGTGATAATGATTCGTGGGGGAAATTCGTCATCAACACTGAAAACGATTTTGCGACTTTGCTCAGTGATGTGCGAATTTGCCTCTGTATTTCAAATTTCAGTGTTTTTGGTTTGATTATATTATTGAATTACATTTATTATTATTATATTTTTATTTTTTATAATTATTTATTCAATTATAATTTATGATTTCGTGTTTCAAATTTTATCATATCCGGAATGTTTACTAGACTCTTGTTCGGACAGATTTCAGTGAGTTATTCCTACAAATTACAGCCTACAATAAAAAACTACATATTTCCATGCAAAAAAATGGTACCGCTTTCAGCACCAAAAATCGGAAAGAATCATACCACTGAGGAGGTTAAGATGCTCGTGGTGCTATGAGCATGTCATAGCAAAGAACGGCACAATGCATTATGAGCATCTATATAGAATTGATCACTTCATTTTCAGGTGTTTGTACAGACACAACCTTTTTCTAGCTTTGGATCAGGAAAGGGTTAAAGCCTCTTTCAGGTTTCTGTTGCTATCAATGTACCCAGTGGAAAAATTCACCCTCTCCATTTCTACTGTGACAACTGATGGGGAATCCAAAAATTTTACAGTTGTCACCAAACTAGCTACAGTTGTCATCAAAACGGCTGCACCTCTGAAAAGCAGTTCACGTTTGGATTGCTTTTCAGAGGCATATAATAGGTGGTGATGAGATGCCTTACCCCCTTTTTTAACCCAGTAATCCCGCAAGCCTCCATCATTGTATGTGGCTGTGTGATGTCTGCAAAGCTTCCCCATAGGGGGCAACAGTTTTTGCCGTGGGCACATAGCATTGTGATCACAGCACATAAACACCTCTATCCATTGCCTTTGTAGTTCAAGGGCTCTGAAACTTGAAGCTCAACCATACTTTTTTTAAACAGATCTTCACTCTCTCAGTCAACATTGACTATTGTAAATGCTTATGCTGCTAGACAGGCATTAGTAAATAGACAGGAAATAAATGATATCTACGTGTTTTTTAAACTGTTTTTTCCTTTTTTCAGTCACTTCTTGGATTCCAGGAAGGCAAGTGGTGTCATACAACCCAGGAGTCTTCAGGAGGGGCATAGGGGTTTTCTCAGATAAGCACACCCTCCTGCCTGCCTGCATGCCTGAGCTAA